AATCCGACAGCGTTAGAACCATTGAAAAGAACACTSAAATAAAGATAATTGAATGAATCGTATTATTGAATACTGCTTTGACATTTCTGAAGTATTTATGACGTCATAATGCAAAATACTTCCCATTAACCGTGACGTCAKAACAGCAACTTCCTCGACAAATGAGAATGGTTTCGAGAACGCGGATTAGTGCATTTTAAAGAACAATCAACTGACTTGGTTTTCTGAATTGTTTACTGTATCTCTTGGAGACAATAGTTTACACGGTTTTCAGTTACATCAAGGCAATTCCGTTAGTACGATGTAGAATCCGCGCGTAACCACATCCACGACGACGTAGTTTAGAGATGATAACATATCCCTCTTTATATCCAAGACCGATATCCAACTATCGGTTTATTAATAATATATGGGGAACGGCGTCTGATAGCGACCTACCAAGGGTAAGTGAGCCATTGTTGATTTTGTATTGGATTYCTACAAACCATGACATTGATAGGCACTGAAAAATTTAGTGCGTAATTTCAAATTCTGGCTTAAAAAGCCACAATAAAAAAATGAGAAGTGCTAAAAATAAGAACTAGAAATGCTAGAAATAAATATTCATGTATCCTGTCATAAGCCTATGATTATTAAAATTATATACGTCTTTCTGCGCAAAGTCAGATAGCGCTTCCACACAAATATCCTTATTTGAATACGAGTACGACTAGCATTCTACAGGAGTTTGGATCATTGTAGGTATGGTTGAAGTGAATTTTATACTTACCACGTTACCAGAATCCAGTTCAGTAGTACTATTATCCCATGCGGCTTAATAATGGTATACGACAAAAATCGCGTGGTGTGAATGGATGGTCCTACGATTTATCGAAGCAGCATCGACAAAACCGATTCATGAAGCCGTCTGTGGCTTCTTCGATAAGCGCTCTCGCCGCTGTCATCATCGAAAGCACATCACAATATCTCTTTAGAGTAGGCGGATGAAAAAGTTTTCCTTGGAAAGAACAAATTTTCTCGATGTTATTTAAGCCAGGAATACCAGGCTCAGAGCTATTTTACTACCACGCCCTTTGCCGGCGTAATTTGGCTCACTCCGTCTACTACAAGAACGGACACATACTGCAAAAGATATATCTGRTTTATTCGTTCAGTAATCTATTTATTCACAATCCTTTTTTTTCTTTTTTTCTAAATCCAAGCTTTCATAACCGATTTGTTGATCATTTCGATATTTCAGAGATCTCGCCTTACCGAACCCAGGACTGTTCGTCCATTACCGGTAGTTGAAGCCTGGGGTCGACGAAGAGGAATAAGAGCACTTTTTTATCACCCATCTGATCACTGTAAGTATAGCTATTAAAAGTAGTGGTCTTTCAATTTCTATTCTCTGGACTGAATTGATTAGTGCTATGTATGTGTGTATGTATATACTAGATGCGTCGAAGCGGACCTTCGTTTCTCAGTACTACTCAATACTCTTTTCGGCATGAAGGTTCGGCTGAAAAATACTCTCTACAAACAGCTCTAAATTGATACATTCAATGTTTATCCAAGTCATTATATGATAATTGTGTTATCATGTGAGTATATCTACGTAAATATTACGTATGAGGTCCAGTATAAACCACACCCAAATTAATTTTATTTCGGCGTACTAAAATATAGACTACACTATCTAAGGAGAAATATTAAAATGGTCTTGTCACAAAAGAAAATTATAAACATATCGTACTTTGATAAATGTTTGCAGAGTAACTTCTCATTATAACGTGACTGATTTCTAGAAAAAACATTCAATCATTTGTTACACTCTGCTTGAAATCAAAACAATTTGTATTTTTCACTAATGAATTTTTGTTCAATAATTGATAATGAATCAATGCAATTAATCCAAAACGAGGTGTTTATTACGACCATTTGGAATATAAAACAAAACCAAAGTTCAAAATACAGCTGGTCAAATGTTTTACCATATATTATTATTATTCAGAATATTCTTCATATATTAAAAAAAGAAAGGAAAGCCATATTTAGGTTTCAAAGTAAATAGAATTCACTATATTTTTCTCAAAGATCACAAACATCCCSCAAACATCGCTAMATGTCMAACGAAAGTAAGACTAAAAGGCTATTGTTTAGATCCCAAAAGACTTTCGCCCCAAGGGTAAAATAAACACTTCTGTTGTCATGACAACAGCATAAACTTAGTCTCTAAATACGCAATAAAGTTCACGCCGGGATATTGTTCTGCGCTGAAAACTAACATTATCGATAAAATCACAGCTATAAGGATTTAAATGTTGAGATTTGAGGATACAGATTGGGAGAGAGGCTACAGAGTTCAATGTAAGTTATTGTGAATTGCTATACTCTCGGTATGCTGGTATGTAAATGTTTGATATTTAGGGTCTATTAAAAAGACTCTTGATAGCGTTATAAATGCCTTAAACTTACTCTTTAGGTATCATTTTAAAGACGATGTAAAGCTGTAGATATAGATGTAGTTTGTATTTGTTTGAATAATCTCGAGTTGACAGAGAGACATTCTATGCATTCTCAATATTTGCGGTAGGCCGCATGTTTTGACACACCGAAATCCTTTCGGTCAACGTGACACGGTTGGTTTCAAAAYGCTGAAATTCTTTCGACTAATTAACGTTTCTCAGGCAGTTTTAACTTTTCCAACATTTTCTCGCACTTCTTTTTACAAAGGAAACAAAGTTAATTTAATTAMAGCCAGTTAAGAGTCTCGAGGTTTCTTTTCTTACCTATTGTAACAATAGAAAAATTTTGTTTCGAAGCACGGGCTTCCGTCTTCCGTTTTTCGAAATAAAAAAGGCTAAGACTTATACAAAATAGAGTTCATTAAAGCACATTAATTAACTTAAAATCAATTTGCTTGTACACCAAGAATGAAGGAAACATTATCGACCGTTCCGTTTCATGGGATTCCTCAAGTGTTTGTGAAAGGTCACATCCCAAAGGGTGCCAACGGTGAAAGCTTAGTTTATGGTAGTGATCCTAGTGCSGCAAAGGGTAAGAAATACTTCGACATGTTAAATAAGCACTTGCACAAGAACTTTAGAAATTGCACTACCATAGAATCAGTTAGAATTAAGTGAAAATGTTATAATATATTTTTGTAATATTGCACTTTAAAAATATGGAGTAAAGATTGAATTATTGGGATTGAAAGTCCAGTATATATCACTTTGCCAAAGCACTCCAGCTAACAGGATCCAAACGTTTATGTAGCCTTTTTGAACAAAGGCTCTTTTGACTCAKCTCTCAATTATTTATCATCTTTTCTTGATACTTGCACTATTAAATAATTCACTAGATAAAAATAACTGTGTTCCACAGCTGTATGTTCTGAAAGTAGCGTGAAAAAAAGGGAATAAAAAACTCTACCCCTAAAATGTTTTATTATCCATTATGGATGCTGCCACAACCTATAATGACATTATTTATAAGACAGTATTTATAAACAAGCTTATCTTCACTGTCACCTTTTTGAGTGCAGAAAACTGGTTCTCTTTCCCTGCTAGCAGGAGTCTCTGTTTACTTCAACCACAGGAACTACAATGCGAGAGACTCTGCTAGGAGGGAAATGGTTCTCGTAAAAACATTACTAATTGATTGACAGGAATTTGGGTCTAGTCATTATGGACTGCATTTAGTGTTGCTATGGAAACAAACACAAATAATTTTATTGCATTTAAACCTAAAGCAGGGAATAACAGCTGATTGTGATCATTTGCGGGCACAAAGAATAATAAATTATATACAAATTGGATGTTATTTTACTCAATTTGAGAATGCGAATCAAAAGACCACTCATCCTATTAACCCACTACTATTTTCATTTCCATCCAATGAAAAACTTTGTTGTAACAAGAATAAAACTACACAAATACAAACAAAGACAATTAAAACATTAATGAGCTTCAACCCCTGGTGAGAGGTTGTCATAATGTACCAAAAGTATTATCCAATTATTACGGCTATTTATTATGTCTGTGATAAAACATCTACAGCTCTGCCAAGAGACAGGAGAACAGATCCCCTGGGGCAGAACACACAGCAGTCGTCTTACCAAAGAGCTCATCACCTTCAGAATTTCCATAACAGTGGATATGAAACCAGTACAACAKCAACRAACTATGATCCATTTAGCCAGGACCATCACAAAAGGCAGCATTTTGTTAGAGGCGTGGTGAGAACACAAATGTARTMATGCCAGCTGYAATACCAATGACAGCTGACATTGGCTGTATTATTGTTTGATCTATACAATATAATATGTCTTTATATACATTAAATCTTCAGATTCCAGGTGGCTCTAGGAACAACAAGATGATTTATGGTACAGATGAGCTTTTAAGACAGTCAGAGGAAAAGAAAAGGGTTCAAGCCAAAACTGACAAACCAGATGGATTTTTGTATGGAACTGAAGCTGCAACAAATGTTGGAAGRCAGAAGGCAGGAACAAAACCRAACAATGCTTTGTGGATTGAAGCAAGAGTGTAAGAGAACCACTTCAATTTATTTGTACATGTACATGTATTTGGGGGGAATTAACTTTATTTGAATGATGAAATAAGTAAAATAATATTTTTGAATGCTTTGATTATTAAGCTTATTGTGTTCTTGGCAAGAAAAAGATTAACAAAATAATTCACAAGTATTGTTTTCAAATCAAAAAATCTAAAATSCATCTTGCTTTTGCTTTGCATAGGAATGACGATTACCATGTGACACGCCATCAGAAACTGGCAAAGGATCAAGGTAAAACRTRACTATTAGGCAAATTATGTGGTATTTACACAAAGTCAYGTACAAGAAAAGTAGAACAAAGGACATTAAATTTAGACTTTACTAAAGGATGATATTTAACGGCAAATTATTAAAATTCTTTAGTAATTATCATGAAAATAATTCTCTTTACTAGATGAATTCCTATATCTGCATAAACGTGAGAAGGAAAAACAAATGCTAGAACGACAACAAGAAAAGAAGAAGGTAACAGCAACAATCTCTTACAGCAGATTTGGCTGTATTAAGTCATTTTTACTGATTTTTCTTTTTATCCCAGGATTTGGATATGCTACAATCATATTATCCATTTCAGAAGCCTGGTCATGGAGCTCCACTTGCAGTGAGTGCAGTTATATCACTATGGTTTAGTCAACAATTATTAAAAAAAATATTTATAACAAAAAAAAAAATTAAATAAATATATATTTTAAATTCTGCTCAGAAATCAATAATTGTATATGAAAAGTGTTGAAAGATTATCCTGCTAATCATAATCTAATGGTATATATTTCTGTTCAAAGGGGCCTGATCCAAATAAGCGTGAAGCACGGCGCACTAAAAACATTCAAGGGTTACAAGAAGAGGTCAGTACAATAGTATGCTGTTATCTTACAGAAGATTTTGTATGACTGTGCAAAGGCATGGATAACACACAACATGGTCTCATGGTCTCTCTCAGAACTACACCTGGATTGCTGCCACAGAAAAATTTTGACAAAAAACTCAACAACTGTATTCCAGAGTCAAAGCTGTTTATGCATAATGATATRAGCTCTGTAGTATGAATGCAAACAAAATAGTGCCATTTTACAATAAGACTAATTTTTATCAATATTGTATATTCAGGAATATASTCCCTTGGGACTAGGTGGYGGTGGTGCACCAAATCGAACAGTCTCTGGAAAKCAACAGACAAAATTAMGAGCTGATCCTGAACTAAGATTCCCTAAATATGGCGAGAAYAGCAATATTGCAGAAGGCTTGGTAAGATCTAATTGAACAATAGCTACAAACGAAAAAAGAAAAAGAATAAATAATATTATATATAATAATTCTTTTGTTATTGTAGAGATATAATAAAAAAGACATGGAGTATGCAGCTTTACTTGGTAAGCAAGGGAATTGACTGTCCTGCTTTTGTCCATTTTGTCATTCAATTCTTAATGGGAAAATAATTATTCTTTAATCACATTATTCTTCTATAATGGTGCAATATATGAAATCCTTAATATTCATGTACAATAATCTGTAATTTTGTATTTTGCAGAGAAGTTTATCAACGAAAGTCATACAAGAAAACAACAGGAAGAGAAGAAACGCAAAGAACAAGAAATATCTCATGTAAGAAATAAATTAAAAAAATGATTTTTTCTTGTGTTAAGCTATGCATCATATACATATTAACAAGCAATATATCCGTGTTATAGAATCAATATGATCCATTCAAAAAACCTGGTGGTGGTGCTCCTTTGACAAATGAACAAGGTGAAGTCAATGCAAAACAGATATTAACACTATCCACAGACATCAAAGAACTTAGAGGAGTAGAACCTCGTCACCAGCATGCATACAGTGATCCAGGGAGTAAGTTATGATGTTTGATATCCCAACATTTAAATTATCATTATCAGTTGTGTATAATAAAATTATTAGCCTTAGAATTGTAGTTTTAGAAGCACCAAGTTGGTCTTTTATTATTGAAAATTTTATATTTATTATAATTAAGCAAATTCTAATTCAATAATGTGTTTGTTTTCAGAGTGTAAACCAGATGACTATGTAAGTACAGTAAATAAAAAATGTCATAATATATAAATAGTTTGAATAATTATTATTAATTATTAATAGTGTCTTATATTATCATCTGGAAATTTTACAGGCATGGTTAAATCCAGACAGCAATCATTGGCCATTTGGCAAAAACACTGTTGAAAGGGACAGAGCTGGTAAAATCATGAAGACCAAAAGGCCTGCAATTGATGATTCAGTAAGCATTAATTACACTTACAGAAAAAATCTACAATCTTGGATAAAATATCTTGTGACTTTCACATGAGTTTGTGTTGTTCATCTACGCTTGTCTTAACTACCTTCGTTTGTTCGTATATCTCCTGCCTAAATGTCTTCTCCCCCTTTCAATGTTGTAGTTTGCTGTCAGTCTGTCGACAACACTGTGGGGGGAGGGAGGGAGGGGTGGGAGTTTCAAATTTCGAGCGGCAACCAGGAAAAATCATTGATTTGTTTAAACTTTCCAGGAAGGAATTGGAATACCTGTTGGAAGACCTGGTGCTGGTGCTCCCATTAAGGACAAAGATGGTAAACTCAAAACAAGGAAACCACAGACATTAACAAAGAATAGTTATGGACGTAAGTTATAAGTCGGTGCAGTAAGTAAACTTTCTTTACACAACAGCTCATTTCTTATAGCTGTCAAATATACCTTTATTTACAGAGGTACTGTCAAGGGATTTCAGTCCTAAAGAGAGAATTGAGAATGATCCCTTTCAAAAGCCAGGTGCAGGAGCTCCCATTAAGGATGCAGATGGTAAAGTCAAAACKCGCTTAGTAGCTCAGGTGGAACGATTGGTGAGTCATGGCAGTAAAACRTAAAACTTATGAMAGTTGTTTAATTAATCCCTTTTTATTTAAGGAACCATCACCAAGAATGTCTTTTGATGATATCCAAGCCAAACAAGCCTATCTGAAAACTTTACGTAAGTGTTCACAGTTGTATTCAGTGGCCATTTGTAGGGGTTATGTGCTATAAATAAGCCTTCATTGAATTGACTCTTTGGACATTATCTCTTTTAGAGGATCAAGCTGAACAAGCTGAATACAAGCGCAAGGAAGAGAATGAAGATCTCAAAAAGGTTAACACTAATTGCCATGACAATTCTAACAATGCTACCATGACAACCCAAATGTTGCCATGACAGTATGTCTTTCAAATTACCATTTGTTCAAATTTAAAAAGCTGTACATTTAACAAAAGCTATTTGTCATTTTAGAGTGGAGGCGATGTATCATCATGGATCAGAAGTGGTGTTGTTGGTCAGCCAAAGTTTGACCCTGTAACAAAGGAAATTATAGCATCACATAAAACCACGTCTGATGTCACTCAACAAAAGCTGAACATACGCAGACAAAAGAATGATACTAGCAGCAACTACCACCGTGATCTGCAAGTTCTTGTTGATGCAAAACAGAAACAACGATACCAAGAGAAAGAAACTGAAAAGCATGATTCCATGAGGGTAAGCAATAAGTCACTGTTGACTTAGATTGAGTCACCATTTAGGAAAATAGAATGCATACAGCAATGCTTATAAGAAGAAAAAACAGAAACAGTTATCAATCTCAATCCAGAGACCTTGTTCCTTTGTTTGCACCAAAAAAAACAACATTGGGCAAAAAAACAACATTGGGCTCAACTTATTTTTTAATGCAGAATGCAGGCTCTGGAGAATAACTATAATTATTCTTAAGTGGCAAGAATTCAAAGCAAACTTATTGTAATTCAAATAAAATGCATTTTGGACATGTGAAAGATATAGAATAGCAAGTCAGGAAAGACTGGATTCTGACGAAGGGAAACTCAGCTTATATGGCAAGACAAAAACTATATTTAATCAGACATGTTAATGAAGCATTGAAATCTCTCTTCAGCATGTGGAAACCATGAACAGTAACTGGGGTAAAAAAGGTGGAGGGGCACCTCTTGACGGATACAGAAAACAAAAATGTGAGTATATTTTCTTAAAAGTAAACTATTTCTTCCAAAAATGAAAGTTTACAAAATAAATGTGTTATTGTGTAAAATGTTGACTAACAAAGAATTCTGTAATTTTCTCTGCTTTCAGTTGGATTGGATCCCTATGATGAAACCAGTTTTCGACCAAATTGAAACCCACAAGTGATAATAATAATAATTCTTAGACGCAGTATTGTTTTTATTATGTGGTTGTTTCGTTTGAAAATATACAATTATAGTAAGACCTATGCACTATACAACTTCCCAGAACTTTCTAGTCTGTAACATCATTAAAAGATATTTTGGGAAGTGTAGAGTCCTCAATAAAGTTTCTGCCTAGTTAACTAGGGWATGTCAAATTAATACTCACCGCATAAAAAAGTGCTGTTTGGCACAATATTCATTTATTATGGGTGTATTGGTGCACTTTGCGGATGTGTCAAAGTCAAAGAAAACACAAAATTTGTTGTTAGAGGTAGAGAAGGAGATAACTGACACAAACAAGAATAGATGACAAAGAACAAGGCTCACACACTGACAAATAAAACACAAACAGTTCAATTTTTACTGTAAAGTTAAGTTATTTATTGGGTATTAACTTAATTAACTTAAAAATAAATATTTATAATATTTTAGTATTTTTTTATTGTAAAAAATTCATATCACTATCATTTATTATCTGAGTGAAGTGACTGGATGTTATTTTAGCATAGCTTAGAAAATAGACAGAAGTGAATTCTAAGAAGTACTAGTATGAATGTTTATTATATTCTCATTCAATAACAGTATGAATTCATGAAAGATCTATCAGCACTGAGTAAAATATTATTAAAATGATGAAAAACATTTTGTCTGGATTCTTTTCTTTGAGTAATTATGAGGTCAAAAATTGTTCTATGACAGTTGATGGTAGTTTCTCAAGAGCCACCTACTATCCTGCAAAATCATTCCTCATTTTAAATTATAAATGCATTTTAACTTGTTCATATTTTGCACAATAGTAGGAACACTTGATAACGGCCCCTTACCGTGCACAGAAATGTTTTGTTTATTTGCAATTAACCAATGGATCTTTTAAATTGATTCACTGGAAGTAAACTGGCCAAAATGACATAATACAAAAGTTCACAATACAACCAAACCTCATTAAAACAAGACAATACACTTAGAACAATTCTGAGTTTGAACAGAACAAGATTTAAGAAGTTTAGAAAAATACAATCAAATGAACTGTTTTAGGGACACTAGTGCTCCCAATGTAGTGGACTCAGTACTAGGGGAAAATAACAATCTTCCCACTCAGAGTTGTAGTGTTATTCTATATTATTTATAGGCTCTCTAACTCAGAAAAAATATTTCTTATTTTAGGGGTAATTGCTTGATTAAAATGATGCAAAAAGGCAAACTATTATGTTGACGTTCACTGAAAGCCATGTAAACAACTTATATAACTAGAGATTAAATGTACCTTTTCTATTCAGACTTCATTTTTGTTTCGACTTTTTTTTGGAAAAATAGATAAATAATAAAAATATAAATTAGCTACGTGCATTAAACAAATGTTGAGTCAATATAACACATTTCTATTGGATAATTGTGTTCAATTGTAACTATAACTATTATTATAAATGATAACAGACTTTTCATCAATCAGCAAAAGATTGGCTGAGGAATCATAATAATTATTTAATATGGTACAATTTTTGCACTTTTTGCACACAAAGTGAACAAAAAACAGACATAAAACACAATGACAGTACAGACAAACAAYGCAATACATCAATACATGAACTATCACAGCATGACAGTAAACAAACAGAACGGCAAAGTGCATAATGTGCACTTACTAATGCCAGCTAACAAAATAATTCCCAATCGAGCTCACAACCYTCTTCAATTACCAAATGTCTCCAGCACACAATATGCATAAAGTCACTGTCACATGWTGCAGCAACATCACCTCATATRWACTGAAACTTCTTTTTATTGTTTAGCCAGTTGCAAAAATGGTATTTKTGCTGTAAGAACAYTCTTTCWGGTGCACATKAGGATCAGTTATAAGCAACCTGCTTTCACATGTCACAGTGACTTTCAGGAAGCTCTTATCAACCCAAGCCTATAGGTATCAACTAGTTGAGTAAAAACACTTTGCAACACTCTGCACTATTTACATGTAATTAACCAAATAGTGCTAGCTCAACGAAAAAAAAACAACACAATTAACATAACAATTTAGGAGTATTTTTGTCGCACACTTTCAGTGTCCGTACCCTACAATATCCTTTTGGACTTTGACTACAGCTTGAAATCATAAGAAATGAACTCTAGCTTGCAAGATCCTTCTCTAACAATTAAAATAGTTTTTAGATAATTTTATAAAATAGATTATGATACTGATTCATAATATTTTCTCAATATTATTTTCTCAAGATTTAAAATGTCTCGGACAAATGTATGGCTTACTGTTTTCAGAAGTCAAAAGAAAAGGCACTTGCAATGCAGGCTAACATTATTCAGACTGTAGACAAATTCTAAAGAATATAAACCACCATCTATGAAATGAGCTTGGGGTTGAATCTCAAGAATACTAAAATTACAATTATTTTTTAATGGCGAATTGTCATTAAGAAAGAAGCAAACTGTGTAAATTACTAGATGCTACTAAAATTCATTGAGATAAACTTTCCTAATGTGAACACACAGTTTTCTCAAGACATCTAATGTGTGAAAGGTGGTGCAAATGATAAAAAGATCTCCAATTTGATTTTAAAGTACCGCAAATCTAAAATAAAGGACTCAATTTCACCCCCGCCATGTTAAATGGCATTTCAACAAGCTGTAAGGTTTCTATAGCCTTAGCTCTGATTTTTGAGATGCAAAAATAAATAGGGTCTACGAATTTAAAAATAAATTTAGAATTAGACTTAGTTGTGTGTGTATTATAATCTAAATAAGTAGCAAGATGTGCATGAGCTACACTTATATGCTTTAAGCACTGGCATACAGCTTGTGAACAACTATTTTAAACATTTTCTGGTGATGTATATACAAAATGGATGTGATTATGTCCTTCCTTCCTGACGAAAAACATTACAGGAGATAAAAAGACAACAAGAGAAGCAGCCTCAGAAACAAGAGATAGCAATAACATACTACTAACTCCTCAAGTGCTCCCTATCTCATACAATGCGACTTCAGGACAGTGCACAGAGACATCAGTAGCAATTTTACATAAAATAGTAATTTTGTAAAAACAAGACAAGTGACAAGTGTCTCTGAAACTTGATTGGTACTAAAATACAGTAATTATTATTTCAGACATCCTCTAACTAACAATAATTCATGATTGTATGGTATCTAATTCTTTTCGTTGAAATTTAAAAACTTTCTCAAAATACCAAYTTGATATAAATACTTAGTAATAACATCTTTATAAAAGACAACACATGTTTACAGCATATGCTATATACTTGGACAAAGCTAATAAATAACTAATTCTCAAATTATAAAAAGTTCAAAATATCCTAATAAACAATGTTTAACAAATGCAAACATTTTCTTAATTATATAAATTCCAAAACAAACCATAAAAAGACATCTTACAATATATTTTCAAAAAACTCAAGACATACATAATTGAGTTATTAGGCCAATAGAATGAGCCTATTTGGTCACATGCATGGACCTTTATATCTGATAAAACACACCCTTATTAGCATTCTTTATATAAAGAACATTAATAAGGGTGACCTTTATCAGATATAAAGGTCCATGACGCTAGCAAAGGTCTCAGGTTTGAAACCTGATCATTGATCAATGCAGGATGTCAACTGATTGCAGTAAAACAGGCATCAGTACTTCTATTTTACTTTATGTGTATTCAATGTGGGATGACAATAGCGATTCGCACATGGTCAGTTTGCCACATCTATCTCAAAACTTATTTTATGGCAATTTCTCCAAGAATTTTAGTTTTTGAGTTTCAAATTAAAAGTGTTGGCTTTTTGAAGAACTATACATGAACAATATTCATAAATTACTTTATGAATGCTTTTAATCTTGTTTTTTAATGTAATTGCCATTTATCATTCTTACTGATTTTGTGTTTATGAACATTGTCGCTGTGATTGCTTTTGAATATAGAATAAATATTTAGGATTAAGCTAGGTTTATGTAAGATATATTCTACTTTTTACAACTATATACAGAGTGGCAATACTATCAAATGCCATTAAAATCAATTTTGTAAAAATGTGTTATCAAAATACCGACAGAGTTTTCTCAACATTATTTGATTACCCACTCCCACAATGAAAATAAATATCTCTCCTCCATTGATGAAATACCTAAAACTGTATAAACCTTGCATAACTGTTTTTCGGAGTTTAAAACCCTCCTTTTATCCAAACTATGCACAAATCAGTTTAAAGTAACTAACATTTCCTAAATATTATATTAATATTAAATTAAGACTATAAAACAGTATGTGGTTTTAGTCAATCATTTGTACAAATGTGATTGCATAATTTAAAAATCTAAATTGAAATTATAAACAAGTATATTTTCCATCACTCCCTAAAGAAATTCTTTGTAAGGCTGCCCTCCCTAACCCTACCAAACCATGCCCCATAAAACCCTCTATCTACAAGCAAAGTTAAGACTGGATTTGATAAAACTCAAATCAAAGTTATATCATATTACACAATGACACTAAACACGACCATCCCTTCCCTACCCTCCCATAAATCTACCTAGGTTTAAATAAGACATTAATATATTATATTAGTATTTTGTATATTATTTTGCCAGCATCATGCATGCAGCAAGCAAGCTGGTTCCTGTCCCACAATTCATTTCAGTCCCATGAAAATCCGAGAAATTGACATCATGATTGTGTAATGTTCTCAACCCCAACATAATTCAAAAGTTATCAACCTTCAAAAGATAATAAACCATTACACCTTGAAGTGTCAAAACATCTTACAAAAAATATCATGACATGTCATGCATTTTTCCAATGTCATGAACATAAAAAATTCTAAACAAGTATCTTTGTACTGAGCTGAACATCACTGGTATAACATTGAATAGTTTTATTGATACAGCAAACATAACAAAAAAGCTACGAACTAATAAGCTAGCCTAACTATACAAGGACTATAAAATTTGTCACTTTTTTGATTCAAAAAGCTATGAACGATTATAAGTTTCTGAAAGATTGTTCAGCATTGTTTTTTTCAGTTGATAAGTTCATGCACATGGCGATGTTCTGACAAAGTATGAAACATAAGTTAACGATTGCCCAGGTTGATAGTGATAGAGCATATCAAAACATGTTATAGTTTCCATTGACTGAATATCCAACTGATGATGTCCAATGTTTTGCAAAGCTATA